CTTTGTATTTTGCCTGTAGATTCTCAATCGTGCTAAACTATTATCTGCTTACCAAATAAACATAAACTTATCAAATACTCATCTTAAATCAATAAACATAACTTATTTAAAGTACTTTATATTTAAGGTAATTATTGTCTTTTATTGTTTCCGTTTCCTCTGCAAGAAATCTTCAGCATTTTTGATCGTATCCTAGAATAGCTGAAGACAATAAAACTTTTTCAAACTGGACCCAGTTGTCCTTGATCATTGCATAATATTTAGCTGCTCATTGCTAAATAAACTGGTCTTCGTGAGTAGAAACACTACACGAGGCATCTCACTTATTTTACAGTTAATTTAAACACCATAAACACTTTAATTAAGCCACGAGGTTCTTTTTTTAGGACCATGTTTACGTGCTAAACGGCCGGCGGGTGGAACCCTCTTAGGTTCAAATATGCTCATTATTTATGTTCCCATATCAATTTAATAAAAAGATGGTAAACGTTAACGTACAGTAATTTTATAGTTAAAGTCATTATTAAAGTCAGTAAACCTTAAGAAATTACATAATCGTTGTAATTTTACTATATTTTATATTACTACGCAAAGAAATAATAACTTTGTAAACTTCTGCTTATCCAGAGAACTATATTAACTATGGCCAAAAATAAAAGGCGTAACTTACTATGCAATTTTGTCTTTAAACCAGTAGGAACACTGGTTCATCAACGTCATCAACGCGATAGTGAACATAAAAAATCTTTAATGGCATTATAGATTTTTTGAATGTTTGGATGTTTTTAGCTGTATAAAATTATTACTTTTAAAGTGAAACTAACTGACATGGCATTTTATATCCTAACAGATTTACTTTTAGTTGATTATGAAGATATTATTTATTGAAAGTTTATTGAATAAGTTCAGACAGCTTGAAAACATGGTCACAATGTACACTAGAATACCAATCAGCTGACGGAACAACAATGTTGTAACAGCTGATTGGTTGTTACAGCTGTGTTTGAATTGTAAAGACTACCTGACTGTTTGTAGTTGAACAAGGTAACTATCATTAACTTTAAATAAAGTACTTCAATTAAGGTCGATTCACACACATCAGTTACGGCACGTCGCAGTCCAGTCACTTCAGGCACGTCACAGTTAACAAAAATATTCTTTGATGGATTTTCTATTGCGCTATCTACACTCATCCGTTGCAGTCCCGTCAGTCACTCTGCTGGCATCCGTCAGTCAATTTCAGATTTCTTTCCAACGATACTTTTTGATTGTTCGGACGCCTGACGGAACTGTTTGAGGTTAGAAAATAGTGTTGTTGTTATTTAAATGGTTGCGTTTGTATTTTGAGTACTGTTTGTAACAATCAACAAGATGGACAATGATAATCTAATAGAATATAGGTTTAAAATTTAAATCTTTTGACTGTAAATTACTGTAAATATTAGAGACGGAAGACTTACTGAAACCAACTGACGGACAATTGACTGAGAAATTGCTGATGCAACTGTGACTGGACTGTAACTGGACTGTAACGGAACTGTGACTGGACTGATGTGTGTGAATCGACCTTTAAGCTTGAATTAAGGCTTGAGTCATGAATAAATAACAAGATGGTGATTTTTTTCAAATTATTTGTTTAAATTTGTGATAATCAAAGTGAATCAAAGATGTTTCCCTAGAGCAGCAATATACAAGCTGTTGCATGAAACAACTGGCGTTTTAATAGTTGCATTTTAAGAGAGCAGAGTTTAACAAAGATATTCAATTTGAAAATCCATACAGACCGGTGGCGTTTCAATAAAAGGGAACACATTCGAGGATTATTGGACACGCTGTGGTTGATTCAATTAATGGTTCCTGTTAATTACACTTTATTTCAAGTTACCAATCACACTGGTCCTACTTTTACTGAATTGCGAGCTAGTCCATGTTTACAAATTTGAAATATAATAAAATTTGATTAATGAAAAGTTAATTAGTTTGGATAGCATCGATTTTATGATTTCATTAAATACTGCTAAATAATATTTTGATTTTTTATATTAATTATTTTGATTTTTATTTATTTATATTTTTTATTAATATAATTTTTTATTTGATTCATATATTTTTGATTTGATTGGCTTTTTTGGTCAACCAACACTTAAAAATTAATTATTAAAAGTGCTGATTGATCTAACACTTAGGAAATAATGAAAGATAAACGCTGGAAATGTTAGTACCTTTTTTGGTTGAGTTTTTTAAGCAGTTGTGAAGTTCTCCACCAGTAAAATAGCATAATTAATCAGATTTTTACAAAAAATAGCTTGAACAATTTTGATTAAAATTTAGTGCCTATAGTCCTGTTAACTCTAAGCAAAATAGTACAGTCCCCATTGCTATAAGAATTGCGGTTGAATAAAATATCATATAGTTGCTTCCACCACTTATAAGTGTTGTTGACAAGGTGATTGGAGATAGTATAGTTTTGTGTCAGATTGCTGATACTGTTTTTTTTCCTTTTCGTGCAGTCGCTCTTATTGTATGTATAGTTTTATTTTTTTTAAGCTGTTTTGAAATGTTTAACACTAGTGTACATGTTGCTCGAATTCGAGCAATTGCAAAGTATTACAGGAGTTATTTCAAAACGAATAACAGTCATATTTACAATGAATTTAAAAGATTCAACTCAAAGATTACCGGTGTGTAACTCAGATCATGTTTATCTTCATTATTAATAAACCTCCTTCTCAAAATGCCTCGCTGTACAGGCAACACAGGTCATTGATAGAGGGCCAATTTTTAACGAAAAGTTGTTTTGGGGTAGTGTTAGGGCGCATTTTAACCTAATAGTTGAGCCTATTACGTGTCACTGTTCTGTAGCTACGGTCGTTATCACGATTACGCCTCCTGTCTATGTTTCATTGTCGTAGCGTCGGAGGCATTTAAAAGAAAAAAACAACAAATAAACAAATTATATCTACACAAAGCAGCGATAAATTCAAAAATTTAAGTTACAATCTGTCAAATAAAGAAGTTTTATATTGATTAACAATTTTTATCTCAGGAATAAAATGTTACCAACTGAATTATTTGTAAATACAATACAAAAACAATCTCCAGATGATCTTAATAATAACTAAATAAATATTAAAGAACAACAAACATATGACATCTTCTCTTCCCTTTTTTTAAAGCCATGTTCTTCTTGGTGGATTTATTTGTCCACCAAATGAGGAAAAACAATTAGGCTCAGTTCCAGGGTCATCAGATGTTTTGGGTTGTAGTTGTCTTAGCATTACCCCGTTGCGACGTAACATGCCTTCGTTTGTCTTAACTGTGTATGATCTTGGAGCTACTTTATTAACTATCTTCCCATCTTCTCTCCTATCAGGAATATACACGTTGCATCCAATAGTGAATTGCTTTTCATCTCTCACTCCATGCCGTTTATTGAAGTAATCTGCTTGAGTTGCTCTATATAGTTTGTCCAATTCTCTAAATGTCTTGTGATCTACCATTTTAGGCTTGAGATCTTTAGTCAATGACGGTAGTCGGGTTCTTAGTCTTCTTCCCATCAACAATTCCGAAGGGCTGTACCCTGATGGACCTGGTGTTGACCTGTACTCCAGTAATGCAAGAGTGGGGTCTTTGTTCTTTGTAAGCATCTTTTTAAGCGTTTGGACTGCTCTTTCAGCTTCACCGTTTGCCTGATGGTGTAAGGGACTACAACAAATAGTTTTAAACCCAAAATCGGCTGTAAAGGCTCTCCATTCTGAGCTTGTAAACTGTGAGCCAGAATCAGAAATTACGATTTCAGGGATCCCATGTCGAGCAAAACAGGCTTTCATCTTCTTGATTAGTTCATCTACAGTCATTGTGGACACATTTATCATTTCCAAGTACCGTGAATAATAGTCCACAACAGCCAAGTATTTGCCTTTCACAAAGTCAAAGTAATCAACTGCTATTCTTTGCCATGGATAGTCAGGAGTGTCTGATTGAATCATTTTTTCTGACTTTTGGTTTTGGTGTTTAGCACAAGTGTCACAATTTTCAATCAAGTTATGTATCTCTGTTGTAATTCCTGGCCAAAACACAGATTGTTTCGCTCGGAGGACTGTGCGTGTAGACCCGAAATGACCATCGTGCAGTTTATTAATGATATCTTTTCTAAGTTCAAATGGGATAATAATTCTTTCTTTATAACATATCAAGTCTTCTATTATAGATAGGTCGTCTTTAAAGGTATACCACTTTCTCATACTCTCTGGCACATCCTTCTTATATTTAGGCCATCCATTTTCTGTGTATTTCACCAACATCTGACATTCTTCACACAGGATCTGGGCATTCTTTATTTGTTCCAATCTTGACTGTGTTGCTGGAAAGTTTAAAGATATTACCTTAATGTGTGCCTCTACCTCTTTTGTGAACTCATCTGTAGAATCTGGGATCGGTGCTCGGCTTAATGTGTCTGCTGTAAACATTTCTTTTCCGGGAATGTGTTCGATGGAGTAGTCAAATTTCATCAATCGCATTTTGAATCTCTGAATCCTAGCTGGTATTGTGTCTAGGTCTTTGCTTCCAAGGAGCGAAACTAATGGTTTATGGTCTGTTAGGATTCTAAATTTTTTTCCGACTAAAAACTTAGAAAACTTTTCTGCGGCCCATGCACATGCAAGAGCTTCCTTTTCTATCTGGGCATATCGTCTTTCACAGTCCTGTAAGGTCCTTGAAGCAAACATCACTACTTTGGGAGATTTATCTTCAACCTGAAGTAACATTGCACCCAATCCATATGCTGATGAATCGGCTATAACAATAGCTTCAGCATTTACATCATACTTAGTTAAAGATATTGATTCATTGACGGTCTGTATAATGTCTGATAGGGCTTCTTGATGTTGACTTGTCCAACAAAATTGTCTATTCTTTCTAGTAAGCTCACGGAATGATTCAGTTTTATCAGCTAAGTTTGGAATGAACTTGTTCAGTTGATTCAACATACCATTTAATCGTCAAACTCCCGCAATATCTTTAGGAGGGGGAAGTTCCTCGAGTGCTCGTATACGATCAGGATCGACCTTGATACCATCACAGTCGATCAGGTTCCCAAGAAACTTCACAGATGTTTGTGAAATAGAACATTTTTCTTTGTTCAGTACAACCTTTGCTTTTTTTAAGCGATCTAATACTTGAGTGAGCCGGTAATCATGCTCCTCTTGTGTTCGGCCATGTATAAGTATGTCATCCATGTGACATAATACCCCATCGATACCATTTAAAAGTTTAAACATCTGTGTAGTGAAAAACTCTGGTGCGCTTGTAATGCCAAAGGGTAATCTCTTGAAATAAAATCTTCCGAATGGAGTAATAAAAGAAGTTAGTTTAGCTGTGTCAGGTGATATTTTTATCTGCCAAAACCCTGACTGGGCATCTAGTTTTGAAAATATTTTAGAGCGCCCAATTTGCCCTAGTGTTTCTTCTACATCTGGTAGTATTATCTTTGGCCGTTTAACATTCCTATTAAGTTCAGTGTAATCGACACACAAACGTAGACTACCATTGGGCTTGAGTACTGGTACTATTGGTGCACACCAGTCAGTTGGAGACTCTACTTTTTCTATCACTCCCAAGTCCAACATTCTGTTCAATTCTGTCTCCACTTTTGAACGTAAAGGAATTGATATGTTTCTTGGAGCTCGAACCGAGTGCGGTTGAGCGTTTTCGTTCAATTCAATCTTATATTCTCCTGGAATGCTACCCAGACCAATGAAAAGCTCAGGGTGGCTAGTTAATACAGAGTCTAAGGTAATTGAGTTAAGTCCTGCAGTATCAGGTTTTCTGAGGGTTATGAGATTTAAAGATTTAATCGCAGGAATTCCAAGTAAAGGTTCATTTAATCCTGCAACAACATACACCTTTTCTTTTACCATTTTCCCACCGTAAGCTATGTCTGCTATAAACATACCTCTTACATCTAGTTCCCTCTGATCAGCATTCCTAAGTATACGGTCAGATTTCATAAGTTTTGCATGAATTACATTTGAAGGAATGGCTGTAACTTCTGCGCCTGAATCAAGTTTCGATTTAACTAACTGGTTATTGATAAATATTTCTACAAACCAAGAACTGGAGTCATAGCATGAAGCATTCACAGGTCCTAAATATGCTACTGAAGCTTCAGTGTTGTCAGGCTTGTCCAAACGTCTTATTTCGTTGAGTCTCTTCGTGTTGTCCGTTGTTTTAGTCTCTAATAATCTGCTTCTGCAATGTTTGGCAAAGTGACCGATTTTTTGGCAGTAATGGCATGCTAAATCTTTAGCAGGGCATAAGTGCCTGGGGTGCATTGGACCTCCACAGTTCCAACAACATTCTTTCCTAGCTGTCTTTAAATCATGGGTTTTGTTAAATCTTGCACTTTGTTTTTGGTCTGATTTGATTCGGTCAACTTCTGCATGTTTTCCTTGGCATATCATTTCTATTTCAGCTGCTTGTTTGCTGATAGACTCTTTTTGTTTGCATTTTTGAACTGCTTTTTCCAATGTAAGATTTGAATCTTCTTGTAATTGGGCCGATAAACGTTTATCAGTTATACCCACTACAATTCTATCACGTATTAGTTCTGCTCTAAGGTTCTTGAATGAACAGTGTTCGGCCATTGAGCTTATGTCTGCCAGAAATGTATCAAATAATTCATCTGGTTGTTGTGATCTTGAATTGAACTTTGCTCGTTCGTATATGACATTTCTTTTGCCAGTAAATATGTTGTCAAAGGCTTCTGTTACCAATTCATATGAGGCTTTGTCATCTTCTGAGAGGTGTGCTGTTGATAAGATGTCCTCAGAATCAGGCCCCATACAGTAAATCAAGCAGCTTACTTGTTTTACTTGAGGTTCATTGTCCAGTCCTGATGCAATTCTATACCTTTCAAATCGCTTAAACCACTTTTCCCATAATTCTGGATTTTTGGAATCAAAAGGTTCAGGAGGTTGAAACATGACTGATGTAGTCCTATTTTGCTGCTGTCTTGGTTCTAGAACATTATGTGTTTCTGATGATTGATTTGATTTGTTTCCTCTGATTGATAATCTATTGTTTTTTGGCATTTTTTTTTTAAACTAAACCGCTGCCACCATGTCAAATAAAGAAGTTTTATATTGATTAACAATTTTTATCTCAGGAATAAAATGTTACCAACTGAATTATTTGTAAATACAATACAAAAACAATCTCCAGATGATCTTAATAATAACTAAATAAATATTAAAGAACAACAAACATATGACACAATCATACTAACACGATCTGTTTTCGTTTTGGGGGTTATGTTTACACAAACTCAAATAGTAAATAAAGGTACTCAATGCGTTTCATTGAATTGAAAAATAAATAACAGCAATTAAATTATACAGCTGATCAAAATGTAAACAATTATGTTCTTCATAAGGATAACATGGGAACTTTCAAAGCCACTGGGGCAGAACCCAAGGGACTTTGTCAAAAATGTAAGGCCAGTTTGCAAATCTGCGCGACACGCTCTTTCCAATGAGACGTCAATGGATAAAATCGGTTAAGAAATGGCGGAGGAGTTCAACCGACAAAGTTTCATGTAGCGTATTAATTATATAGATTGTTTATGTTATATTCCCCTATAAACAGTAGAAAATGATAGAAAATATTTATAAGAATTAAAATTGGCATTCAGAGGTGTGCCCTAATAATAGCAAACAACAAATTAAATACAAATAAATTAAATATATGCCTTTTTTGCTATAACTTTTAATGTGGTTTATCCTTGTTGATACACCACTAGCAGACGAAAATAAACAATTAAATTTTTAGGCACACCATATACTGTAGTAATGTGGACGTAATGATGAATTACTTGATTTAAAAAATACTTCAATAATAAATATCATATAAAATAATCTTTACACTGCTAAATTGTTGTCCCTAATTTAATCTTCCATACAGTGTAACCTAGACAAAGTAGGAGTTACAGAGAGTTAGGAATGATTTTGCACCTATATTGTCAAGACAATAGCCAATTCAGCTGAGGGCCTGTTGAGTTTTCAAGTTAAGGGAGAACCTATTATTTGGAATCATCTCTTGTTACATAATATGATAAAAGGTCCTTGGAAATTTTGGAACTTTTCCCATTTTAACGTTTGAATAGTTAGGAGGATATGATAACTAAACATATTCTTATATCAAATTAATCAGCCTTGACACCTTTAATATGCTATTATAGATAATAATCTACTTACGTATCACGTATGCCAGTAGGTGTCAATTATTAATACTTGAATTATGCTGTACATGTTTCAAGCCTAAATACGGCTCATCTTCAGCAGCATTTTTCTATGTACAATTTTTCACATCGAGAGATGATTGTCGACTATATACAGACCACATATACACACAAACACAGAACGTTTTAGCATGCTATTTTTATTTACACGTGTTTTTGTAGCGTACGCTCGTTGAGATAATACCCGACCGGACGACATTTGTTGATACTCCTGTACCTGTTGCTCGAATTCGAGCAATTGTAAATTATTACAGGTGTTATTTTGATTCAAATAACATTAATAATTTCTGATGACTTTAAAAGATTCGACTCAAAGATTATGGAAATATGCACAACGTACATATACCAGATCAATATAATCAAAATTTCTTGTAAATACCTTAACATTTTTCAAAAGCTGATTTTGTTATTTAGTGTTTTTTACAAATAGTCTTACTCATAGCCACATTAGGTTGTCCATAATAACGATTATAAATGTTTAAAAAAACACAATATTTCTATTTCTTCTACTTGGTGGTGTTCTATGACTTTCTAATGTTTCCATAGTTTGCAAATCGGCCCTTTCAATGATTGCTCAAGAAATAAAAGACAGTGTTAATTCAGTTTTCTATTTAGTACCTTTTTTAAATTTCCAGGGTTTCTTGCTTTTTTTCATCGTAAAATTTTCGCCTACCCAATTTAAAATAGTAAATACCGGTATACCTATTTCATTTCAACCAAGTCAGTAAATGTGTGTAGCAAACTGTTAAATTAGCAAACTTATTGACTATTTACAATTAACATATTTTCTTCTTCTCACTTTTAATTTCTGATAACAGCTGGAGTTTCGTAACAACGTTTGTTTCCCATGTTAATCTTATGCAGAAACACGAAACTTTAAAGGGCCCCAGGGCCTCACTGTCTAATTATTTCAATTTCAAATTATCTCAATAATTAAATAACAATTTATTCATTAGTTGAACTGGAATTGGGGATCACGTTTTTATTTCACAGTAAATATTCTCTAATGACCAAGTGATTTTATTAAAGTAAAGTAAGTATATTTAACTATTGTCATATAAAAGAGTATTATGCCAGTTTGTTGGTTTTGATTTAACCTCAAAACTTGACACGTATGAACACATGATTGCACTATAAAGGTTCATCTTCAAAGATATTCCACCACAGCTTAACCGCTTCTAGCTAAAAAAAATCTAATTGCACTGTAGAGACTTCTCTATTTTTCACCCCAAACTGTACGTAAAACGTGATTGGAATTCCTTACATTTGTTTTGATTTCATGTTTATAATTCGTTGTTATTTCGACACTAGCATGGCAACCCATAAAGCTCATGTTAATTTTTTTTAAATTTAAAATTCATTTCTTGTGCTTATTTTTGAGCCTATTTTAATTTTTAAAAGGATTCTGCACATCTACAGGAAAATATCTTTCTAACAGTAGGAGTAATTTTCCCTGCGATGCACACGAGCTGAGAAAGCAGGATTTAAAGAAACATGCTTGCCTATTAAGTACAGTATTAATATATAGATAGATAGATGCATTAAAAACACAGCGTACATAAAGGTTTATTTTATTTTTTCATTCTTTTTTATTTTATCAAGAAATAAAAAACATAACTACACAAAATATTTAACATTGTTTAGGAAGATTTAGTACTGTTCGCAAATGTAATATGTGATTTCCTTGAAGGTAGGAAACATGATTCAAGTTAAGGAACTTATGTCAAGTTTATGTACCACTCTCTGAGATTAGTTCACATTCAGTTTTATTTTTGGACGTCTTATGTCTAAGGTTTCTGATTACATGAATCTCATTTCCTCAGAGTCATTTTACTTGAAGTTAAGTTACTTAGATTTTTATATCCAAACTACACTTGTTTTTTAAAGCAAAACCTTATAGACTTGTTTACAGTTGAAAGTCTATGAGGTAATAAGTTAGCTTTGCTTTTTAAATTGTTTAGCTTTAAAATATCAATATTTTACCAACATTCCATGGCTAAAGTCTTTAAATATGCATTAAAAAAAATAGTGATCTTCAATTTAATTACTCTTGAAAATAAATGGATAGTTTTTGTACAGTAATATCATAAGATAGTATTGATGGTAAACCAAAAAAGAAAATTACATCTGACATAGTAAGCTTCAAAAAGTCTTAAATACAGAAACTAGGTAAGTCAACAAAACCAATTCTATGTTTAACAAGATTTTAGCTGTTAAAAAAAGTTAAGGTAAGAAACTAAAAATGATACAGGAATATTTTGTGTAGCAAAAAATAGAAAATATCCTCAAAAAGAACAATTTTATTGTGAACTTGATGATGACAGGCAGGGAAAACTTTATGAATGTTACAAGTATGTTCTTATCAATTAAATGAAAAACATAACATTCAAAGTACACAGAAAAAGATAGAGTATACAAAAAATTAAGTGAATGATGTGTTTTGTTTTCATTTCAAAAATATGATCTTTATCTCATCAAAGAGTTAAATCTGTAGCCTATGAATTACGTTCTTCATTATTGTGATCGTTTAGATGCTTAGTACCACAATAACTCATATTATTAAAAGGCACTTGTTTGAACAACAAAGCTACTGACATTGAGCAAAGATTACTGACAGAATCGGACCACCTGTGCACATACTTTAACAGGATATACAGCCACTTCCACTTGTGTAACTCACTGACTCACTGATCAGGTATACAAATGCTTGTTTTGCCCTCTTCTAGAATAGCTAGGGATCTGAAATTTTTTGTGGAGGTCGGTCTCAGTCCTAAACCACCCAGATTCAAAAAAGTTACATTTTCAAATTACGACCCCCCCCCCCCAAAATAATTCCCTTCAATCCCCCTTTTTTGAGAAAAACAAGTTTAAACGGTAAGAGCTAGCAAAGATTTGAAAAAATGTAAATGGTCAGGAATTAAATATTGTGTTTTTTGATGGCAAATAAACAGTTTTTTACAAGACACTCCTTCACCTTCAAAAAATGCCCTATTACTAAAATTTTTAAAATGTCTTGCATTTTCGACGTGAGTTTTTACTTTTAAAAATTACTTTTCGGACATCTATTTGTACCTTTAATGATCCCAACATTGGAAGAAAAGTGCCTAAAGTGACATTTTAAAATTATAGCCTACTAAAAAAACTTTAAATTGCAGATTTCAACAAAAAAAGGTCTTTTTAACGCTTGTTGGTCCAAACCGTTATGCATGGGTGGTCAAATTCATCTGTTTACACTGTACAACATAAGTGTTTCCAATGAAAAATGTGACAAATAGGTAGAAATAAGTTAGGGGAACTGTAATGTAAGCCTGTTTTCTAGTTGAAAGTTTTACTTTTACCATTTATGTCAAAACTAAAATAAGAGAAATCGTTATGAAACACAGAATAATGGCTTGTCCAGTAAACTTACTAAGTCTCGTAACTAAAAGATATTTTACGCTATATTAATCAGTACTTCCGCTACTTTTGCAACAACTTTTTAGAGGACATTCAATAACCTACCACTTTCAATAGTTTGACACCGCCAAAGCCCAGAGTGAGCCAGAT